GGTATTTTTAAATTTTATTTCAATATTTTTTCCTGTGTGTATGTGTTTATATCCCTGTGTGTGTACATAGCTCTGGGTGCCTATGGAGGACAGAAAAATGCCCGGGAGCTGTTTTTGCAGGTGGTTTTGAGCTTTTCAGCTGAGTGATAGGAACCATGTTCTATACTTGCAGAAGAGCTGTACATGCTCTTCTTAGCTGAACTATCTCTCTTGCCCTGAAGTCTTAAACGGTTGTTTCATACACTGCCTGTTATTTGCCTTAGCAGGTGCTGTATCTCTCATTATGTTCTTTTACACTTCAAATTATATGATGTGTTCAGTTCTGAGTTTTATTCTTTGTCTGAGTACTTTGATAACAGATGAACTTCTCAGCAAAAATTCAATAGAGAGATAATTGAAATCTGCTGCTAACTATCGACTCTCAACTTTGGTCATAGGCTGTATGCAAGTGTTTACTATTTTAAAAGAATCTGAGATTAGAACTTTCTATAAAATACCAAATTATACCTTAAATAAATTTATTAATATATGTTGTTATAAATAATATTAAGATGGCTAGGTAATAATAGTCTTAAAATAATACCTCCATCTTAGTAGTGTTTGGTGCTGGGGATACATGCCAAAGTCTTGGGTACGGTTAATAAATACTATAATACAAAGTTGTATCCCTGACACATCTCTTATTAAATGTGCATTTACTCAGTAGTAGTTAAGACAAAATGTTAAAGAACTGATTTGCCATTTTCATTTTATACATTTGAAGTTGTCTGTTCACAGCAAAGAATTGCTGAAAAGTACTCTAGTTGCTTAAGAAATAATCCCAAGTATTACTAACTGTATTAAATGAAATTAAAAAGCTTTTTTTCACAGCAAAGGAAACAATAACAAGATTGAATACACAGTGAATGCTGGAATTATAGATATGTACCAACACACCCAGATCAAAGCAGTGATCTTAAATAAAATACATCAAAAATACAATGAAGAATCCATTTGCCGAGTCTGAATTTTCTACTTGACAATCATTATGAGAACTAACTTCCTACATTGTTGGTTATTTAAATTTTCTTTCTGACATTATTTCTGAGCTCACTTAGATCTAAGTAAGCTATTGTACAATACTTCCACATAAAGTATTCATTCCTAATAGTAGTTCACTATCATTCTGAATGTCCTATTTCTTTAATTTAATAAAACTATCATTGTTTAGATAATAATTCGATAATCAATCCGAACCATATGTTTTCAGATGTTTTTCTTGTCATTATTTCTTCATTATTATTTACTCAATATTTACAATAAATTAGATATTATGCATAATTTTAAAGAGAGAAGCTTTCATTAAGGAACTGAATAACCTCATCTGAATGAAAATGTGGAAAACACATGTAGGTTGGGCCTCAAACAGTGTTATTGGGGATTTGGGTCTTGGAGATGTGTGGCAGGGTCTTGTGCTGTTGTTCCTTTTGAAGGAGGGGGGCAAGTAGGTGCAGACTCTGGGAGAATGTTTAAACAAGCTCAGTTTATTCAGGAAGAGCTAATCCTTATATACCCTCCACCCAACCCTGTGGGGGGGCGGCGTTCTGATGAATAATCATCTGCTGGTATGACATGGCTGCCTCTCATTGGTCAAGGTCATAACCAGATCATGTTTCAGCTACTGTTGCTAAGGCCCTTAGGCAGACCAAGGCTGGCTCTCAAAAAGTATCGTTTTTACTTGTTTGGACAGGCTGGTCCTCAAGCCTGTTAAGAATGAGTCATCCCACAGAGAAGAAGTAAAAAGCATATATTCAGAAGGAGAAAGAACTCCTTCAATGCTTTGAATGCA